TGGGCACGCACGCACACGCGCCCGCCGTGAGTTTTAAGCCACCGGGTCCGGGACACGAACCGCGGTCGACTACGTGGGAATCCAGCGACATAGCCATTACGCTAACTGCTGGTTCCCTAAAAGATTTTTTTTAATGGAACCACCAGATGGCATAATTATTATGTCACTGGACTCCTATGTAGTGGACTTAAAACTCACTGGGTACATGTGTATGCGTGCCTAAGATACCAGGAGGAGACTGGAGAAGTAATCGCGGTGTGGCCATCCTCCCGGGGAGTGATTTCTCACTTCCTATCTCTGTCTCTTCAGCAAGTGCATGCACCCTATGGCAAAAATCTCTCTTAAAAAAACAATAACGTATTTTCATTTCATTTCATTTATTCATTTAATTTGCTATAGGATACGTGGATACGTGTGCTCACCAGAGAGAGCTAGAAAGTGAGAAAGCAAGCAGCTAGGTCTGGAACTCGAAATGCAGTTGGCCATGTGGGAGTCCAGTGTCCTAATCACCACACCGCCTCCTGGCCCCAAAAGAACTTTTTATTTATTTATTTACTTATTTTGAGAAAATTTTGCTATAAGGCATGTGTGCTCACTGGAGAGACAGAGAGAGACAGAGACACTATGCCACCTGCTGCAACCCCCACCCCCTGCAGAGAACTTTTAACAAGGAAGGACAAAATACACATTACAAATAATTCAGTGGGAAAGCATGCTGGTTTCCAGAGCAAAAACCTCCCCTTTCAAGCGTACGAATTCCTTTCCTATGTTTCCCATCAGTCTTGCATCTACCTCCCAAGTCCTCTGGTTTGGAGCCAGAGAGAAAAGTACCTGCTCTTTCGAGTTCCAGTCCAATATTGAGATACATTTAGGATTTGAGAACGCCAGAACAGAGATGACCTCATGGTCTGGGGCAGGGGTCAACAAACTACAGCCAGAAGACCAAATCTGGTCCTGCAACACATTTTTGCGGATTAGGTTTTATTAGACACAGCCACACCCATTCATTTATGCATGGTCTATGGTTGCTTTTATCTATAATAGCAGAGTTGAGTAGATGGACAAAGACCACAAGCCTAATATATTTAATATCTAGCCCTTTACTGGAAAAAAAAAAGTGCCAACCCTTGTTCAAGGCTGGTGATTAAGGTGAAATCTGGAATTGAGGCACACATATAGTAAATAAGACCTACAATTGGATCTCTACTCATTCCCACCTAGAAGTCTCCCCAGATTTTTCAGACTAAGAGTTGCTAACTAAGTCACTGTGAACGATTTCAAATGTCTGTGGAACTCAGTGGGATATAACACAAGGGAGTACTTGAAGGCAGGCTCCTCGGCCTGATGGTTGAGCCAGATCCCACGTGCCCAATCAACCAGGTCCCACACCCGGGTTACGTCTCAGACCCCACACTTGAGAAACACACCAGGCATGCGTGCATGCATGTCCAAAATCCTGAAAGGAGGAGAGAGAGAGACTGAATTGTGGTGTGACCATTCCCCATGAGGGGTGCTTTCTCCTCTCTCTGTCTCTCTGAGAGTGTAGGAGGGTAGAAGAATTCCCTGGAGAAGCATAGACTGGGATCTCGAGAGCGAGTAGATATGTCACCATTTACACCCATCAGTCCAGTAACTTAATTTATTTTCATTTCAAACAGGAACCAAGAACAAGTCTCAGTACAATAAATTATCCATGCCCACCCTTCTTGCTGAAAGGAAAAAGAGACTCCAAGAGTCTTAGGTAAAACCCTTCCTTTGGAGGGGTCCCTGTAACATCTAAACAGGAGACAACTTCCTTAAGGGTCTAGACAGACAACTCTCTGAGGACTCAGGGAGAGCACCTCCCAGCGCTCCGTCCCTTTCCCTAGAAACACCTCTCTAGCCCTGTCTCCCACAACCCTACTAGAGGGGACTTAGGCTGCAGTAGAGGAGTTTGGGAGCGGGTGTCTTTCTAGATACAGGTTTTAAGGCTCCACACAATATCTTAAGGGAGAGGAGTGGTCAAACCATAGAGACTCCCCAGCCCAAAGAAGTGTGAATCAGGGTTAAAGGGGCCAAGGAGTGGAGAAGAGGGGGTAATACAGTGCATTTCATTCCAGTCCATCCAGGTGTTTAAGGAGAAGAGAGGTGACAACTCCTGCCCCACCCCAAGGCCCTCCAACTGTCAGAGAAGGCTGCACATCACAGTTTCCACTTGACCCCAAACCTCTAAAGCTGTTTCCAGGTAGATACTTTGAGCTTCCATGGGTCAAGACAGACCCAGGAAGAAATCAGAGCGAAGGGCTGGAAAGGTGGCCCTCTCACACAGTCCCCTTCCCTGGCCCCAGGGCGAGGCTGCCCCTCACTTACACACATTGACCCACTCTGTGACCTTGCACTCATCACAAAGCACATAGCAGCACCAGTGGAAGCGGCAATGGCAGCGCTCAACTCGGGTCTGCCGGAGCACGTTGTGCCCGCGGCCACAGCACAGGCTGCCACAGCCATCCAATAGGCGGCTGGTCTTGTTGCAGGCCCGGCCCCTTGTGCCAGGGGAGCCCACAGTAGGGTCACGCTCACAGAAATCAGGAGACTTCTCAAAGTAGACCAGCTCTCCTGAGAGGCGACGGGGACGCAGGCGAGGTTGGAAGGCTCCAGAATTGCGGTTGTGGGTATCGATGAAGATGGCCCGGCCCAGCCGCTCCCTCAATGCTGCCCCCACTGCCCGGAATTCTGGGGCTGCCCTCCAGCATGTCTTGAACTGGCAACTGCCTGACGTGCCATGGCACTTGCATTTCCGCTTCAAGTTTTCGGTTACCACCTAGAGCATCAAGGGGAGGAGGAAGAGGAGAAGGGGAGGGCGGCAAACAGACAGCACAGAGGCACAGGAGAAGAAAGGGAACCAGGAACACAGGGAGGGACGAATGGAGGCAAGAATAACCAGAAAATGTCAGAAGAGAAAGGGTATTTCAAAGTTAACTAACAGCCCAACTACCTCATTTTATAAGCACTGGAGCCAGAGAAGCGGGGTGACTTTCCCTCTGACCCTCTTAAAAGATTGGATTCTTTGTTATGTTTTGGGGGTCTCAGAGGCTCAGGATGACAAACCTTTCTCAGATGAGACGTATGCGCACCATTTGGGTGTCAAAGCCTTCCCCTACACAGGCCCTGTGGAGAAGGCGGGGGTCCCTCACTCACTTCTTCAATCACTAGTTGGTAACAGAGCCCGGGTTCAACTTCAGTAGTCCTGCCTCCTAGTTGGGTGCTCTTTCCAGAGGAAGCAGTGATAAAATGGGAGAGTCCGTCCCAAGCACCCCTCAATTCTGCAGAGAAGGCAGCTGTAATAATAGCTACCGTGTAATTAGCGAAGGACTAGGCACTGTGCTGGGTCCACTATTTGCTAGCTCACTCTTAATGACATTGTAAGATAGGTATCATTAGACACCTTTTTACAGATGCAAAACTGAAGTTGGGTGACTTGCTGATGGTGAGTGGCAGTCACCCACCACACCTCATCCTATTATTCTGTTGTGCTCTTGAACTCTAGCCAGGCCTCAAAAGTTAGGGAGACCCACGACAAGATACACACACATACCTGGCGCCCCACCCTGTTGTTGTGGATTCGCATTCGTGCCTGGATGTCCCTGGGAGCTTCCCTGGAATCCAAGAAATCCCGAGAGAACTTCTCTCCAAAGTCCATGTCATGGTTACAGCCACCCCATTCCCATGTGTCCTGGGGGCCAGGACTGGAGGCCGAGCCAGGGCCAGGGCTGGGCAGGGAGTGGGGGAAACTCTTGCCCCGGGACAGTGCCTGCAGCTGCAGCAGCTTGGCCCTCAGCCGATCCTGCTCACCACTGCCCTTCCAGCCACAGCCGCAGCTCACCAGCTTGCCCAGACTGCAGGCCGTGGCTACCGCGTGCATGACCCCAGCAGCCAGCATGGAGAAGGAAAAAGCACTCTCACGGAAACCTGGGGATGAGAAGGGTGTGATGGTGGAGGTGAGGCTAACAGGCAGCTGAGACTGAGGAGGCAGAAGGAATGCACAACCATCCTCCAATTCCAACCCTGCCAATGTACCAGTTGAGTGATTTGGGAGAAAGTCACTGGACAAGGAAGGGAACAGCAAGCACAGCGTCTCGGCTTCCTCATCTATAAGAGGCATTGATGGGTCAAAATGATCTCTGAGACCCAGACTCACTTGGACTTCTGGTAAGTCCAGTGATTTTCAGGTGTGGATGAAAGAGTTAGCCCAGAGGGGGAGACCCCTGAGGTTGGGAGATGACTAAGAGGGAGTCCTGGAGGCCTTTGAAGATGTGTTCACTGACTTCTACATCTAAAAGCCTTAGAAATTCCCCAGCCTGCAGGGAGCTTGGGTGGGGTGGGAGCAGAGGCCTTTGGGGTTCTTTATTGTTTTCATCAGAGTTATTTTAATCAGCCTTTTAAGCAACCCACTCTCCACCACCTCAGCACCCTATAGCACTGGAGCTGAGGAGCTGTCTTTCCCCTTCCCAGGTTCTGCTTTTATATTTGCCCTTCAAGACTGTCCTTTATGTTTATCCTAACCTGCTATTACCCTATAAAACACTGGGAGGAGGACAGAGGCGGGTGACTTTCCCTAAGGCCCTCTTAAAAGATTGGATCCTTTGTTATGTTTTGGGGGTCACAGAGGCACAGGATGACAAGGCTTTCTCAGGCTGAGACATATGTGTGCACCATCTGGGTGTCAAAGCCTTTTCCTACATGGACCCTGTGAAGGTAGGGGGTCCCTCACTCATTTTAGTCAGGGGTTCTTTGGAGTCTTGAGAAGATGAGAGAAGAGCCTCCTTAGAGACCAGATCTCTCCTACCCCAGGATTCAGGGCTCCTGGGCCAGCCTCCCGATCCCCCCAACCCCAACCCTGCAGGGGTGAAGCTGTTTGCACATGCCTTGGGAATTCCCCACAAATGGCAGCTGCCTATTAACCCCATAGTCCCCGAAGCACAGCCCCCACCCCTAGGCTGAATCTCCACGGATCTTTACTCCTCAGGGAGTGAACTCAAGGACACTGGGAGAGGCAGCATGCCCCCCAGACCATGACTCCTAGACAAGGCCCGCAGTGACCTGTTCTCAGCCCCTCTAGCCTGCTCCTCACCTGCTCAGGTGAGCAACACCTGTGGCCCCCACAGCACAGAGGAGGGGGCTGCTCCTGGCTTCAAAGCCATCAGGGTCTTTGTTCCCAGCTTTGGCTCCTGGGAACCCCAGCAATTAGGGGAGCAGGTTTAACCCTTAAACGGTTGGGGGCGTCACCCCACCCCCGCTGAGACTCTGGGGACACCAGCCTGGACTTGTCCCTCAGAGAAGGAGGGGAGAGAAAAATGGGGAAGGGATTGAGGGGGGCGTTTGAAGCTTCCAGGACTGGGACATCTCTTGCTCACAGGTGCAACACAGATCAAGCTGGGCGGAGGCAGTAAAGGGGGCCCCAGGGTAGGGGAGAAGGGACCCAGCTGCCAAGGCGGCAGCGCGTGCAGGTGGAAGTCAGGCGCTCAGGGCCCCAGACGGGTGGTCAGACCCGGCTCAGCCCTGCGGTTCCTGGGGGGGAATTCCCAGAGAGGCCCCTCCGGGATTGGTGAACCGGTCCCTTCCCGCCTCCGCACGCCTCAGCCTGCCTCCTGCCCCCTAGCCTCGGCGGTGGCGGTGGCGCAGACCCGCCCGGTCAGGCTCACCGCGCTTGAGGA